TCAGATACTTTAGTAAAATTGCATTAGTTCCTTTTATATAGAATTTCTATATATAGCTCAATAGAAATAACTAAATGCAAAGTAGAAAACAATTAAAAAAACCTAATCTATTTGCGCGCTGAATGCAGCAACAAATGGTGGAAATAATCCAAAATAAATCAAGATAAATACTACGCTTAAAATTCATCCTATATTCAGTTCGGAATAAACTATATACAAAAACCAAAAACTAGTACAGAGTAGAGTAAACTGTAAGAAAAGGGAGTAAAACATGCCAGAACCAAAATTGAAATACGAAATTTGCATCTTTTCGCTGCAGTAATAAATTGTAGCAATAAAGAAGTAAATAAATCAATCTATTTCTGAACTAATAAAGATAACAATTAAAGAATAAAACATAAAGTAGTCTCATAAAAACCATCAAAAGTAATCAGTGTCTTTGTTAGTCTAACTCTTATAGGTAGAAGTAAGAAACTGCTAAGTTATAGCACCAAAAACATGAAAACTTTCGAAAAACATAAAAATATTATTTTGAGCAGACAAACAAAAAAACAAAATGAAAAAATTATGTTTTTATTGTTGGATTGTATCTCTTTGTATTATGATTTATTTACTTACATCTGTAAGCCTCGTGGAATACTTCGTGGATTACGGGAGTTTTGTACATGTTTTCTTAATTAAAAATAAAAACGTGAAGTATTAGATGACTTCATAATCAATGAATGGAATAAACTGCAGTGTTTAGGTACCAAAATAATTATAGTTTTAAAGTTATTTAAATTCAGCTATCGAAAAGTTTGTAGAGCCTGAAAAAGTTTAAAAAACTGTGAAAAATAAATAAGTGAACGCGAACAAGCTAAATAGTTGTGATGAACATAGGGCAGTGTCTCGTAAAGCGTGGGCAAATATGGGAGCAACCTTAGAGAATGCAAAAGAGGAATTTAGCAAAAATATTACAAATTATAGATAACTTAAAAGAAGGGGAAAAAACAGAAAACAAAAGTAGTTGCCAAATGTTACAGAATATAGAACTCACTCAAGCGGGCATTTTTGAGACTTTGAAGCTGAAGTAGGCCCATTTTCTTAATAAAAGAGAAAGATAATTACTACACTATCTAATCTAAATTAAAATGTAATGTAAGAATTTTGTCAAGCTATACTGCCAAAATGATTTAGGCGCAGTCTATCATAAAAAAAACAGCAGTTTGATAGTGAAAATAATTTTTAGACTGATAAATGCAATTTAGCTAGTTATGTTTTGATGAAATTACGTGGAATTTTGTTATCTTTTAGCATTTTAATTAATAAACTAAACTCTGTTGTAAAATCATTGCTGTTATTACAAAAGCTTTTGAATTTTTCTGTTTGTTTAATAATAGCAATAACTCTTCTGGAAGTATTAGACTTTACAGAAGCTTTATTTACAATTTTCTACAATTTTATAATTTTTTATAGAATTCTCTGACATTTTCGCAAGGGTTATCAGGTTTTACTTTTGCATTTAAAAAGAACTCAAACTTCCTTCTATGACAACATCAAAAGCTAAAACATTTGCCCTACTCATTTCACTGTGAATAAATCAAACACTCAAGATGGAATCTTCCTTTCCTATTTCAGGTAGAGAAAAAACTCCTTTGTTTCTTGAGCATAGCATCTCATAAATCTTGAATTTACAACTATGCTTTTGCAGTTTTGAGAAGAACAGCGTAGATATACGAAAGCAATCTTTTTGTTCCCTTTTGACATTGATGAATATTAGAAAAGTAGGATATTGTTACTTTCAAGAATCTTTTCATTCACGAAATATATGGCTTTTCCCAAAATAAATTTAGGAAACATTATTTTATTTGCTCGTAATACGTGCCATTTTGTGTTCTCGAACAAGAATGGGAATGTTTTTTTATCTTCTTGCTCATTTTTTGTCTTCTTCAATTCTGCAGCCTAAAAGTTGATTAGTTAAATCTCCACTGCCAAAAATCAGACCAAATATTATTTAACATTTTTCTTTAGAGCATCATTCTTCTTCACCTTTAAGCAATTTTTAGTAAATACGTCTTTTCCATTATAGGAAACCCTGCGCCAAATAATTTTTTACAGAAAATTATAGGCTTTAATTTTTGTCAATTGGCCATCTTAAGTTAAAAGTGTTTTTCTTATCTTTCATAACTGTATTCTTGTTTTTAGAATAAGTATTACTAATAAAAGGTTTTTAAGAGTGTTGTTCTACTTTTCTTCAAATAACTATTTAAAAAGATATTTTTTATAATTATTTTACATTTATTAAATGTATTTTATGTTTAGAAAAAAATTTACCACAAATGAAATACGTTAATGACGAAAGTATATTTTCTCACTGCAAGTATCTAATCGCATCCTGTAATACAAAAGATCCCAGCAGATTTATTCAAATAAACTTGCATTTTCATTTGCTAGAACATTAAGTTCTCTTTATTGCTGCTCTGAAATTAGAGATTATAGCATCAGGATATGAAAACAACGTAACTAAACAATGCAACTTGGTAAGATAAATTTCAGGAATTTATAATTATTTGAAAATGTAGAATTTATAATTATTGTGGCTAGCGTCAGAAAATTTGTTTGACGTCTCTCGCATTTTGAGATATTAAAACATTTTAATGAACACCTAATTTTTTCCATAATCTCAATTATTTTTTTATTAGAAATCATTTCAATTTTTCACTTTCAAAATTCTTTCAAAAGAAATAGACGCTTTCCAAATTACCAGCTATCGCAGGAACGAACAAACCTGTTCTTAAAGAATGAAATCTCTCAAAGTTGAAAAAAAAATAATATTAAAAACTCTTGATGAAAAGATAAAAATCAAATGTTGATAATGACAATCCAAATGGGCGATAAACCGTTTCGTTTGAAACAAAAGTAACTGCAATAAAAATACTTGAAGAAGAAGAAGAAATAAGAAAACATTCGCATTCGAACAGTGCAAATCATTTAACCATGGAACAGTTCGTAAGTACAAAAATCGCATAATTGAACATGTCAAAAGGTGTAGAGCCAATGCAGTCAACAGACCGGTCCACTTCGAAGAGTAGCAGAGGTGGAAGAGACTACTTCAGTTAAAATTGCTCCATACAATGCTAATGGCAATAGCATTTTCCATGTTTGAAACAGGTCTCCTTTCTGTGGAAAACTAAAAACCAATTTTTGAGACGTTTGCTAAAATAAAGCCTACTGTGCACGGTGACATACAATACTCTTGTCTTATTCACTATGAAAGAAAAATAAAACTTGTTGAGACGTATATTTTCTTAAGAAAGACTCTTCAGATATCGCCGTTACTGCCCCTTGCCAACATGCTAATTCCTTCCACCTCTCATACAGCTTGTTTTAGTCGGCCAGACTGCTGTACCACCGGAGTTCTCGAGCAAGGAGTTCAATCTCTGTTAAAACGATTAATATCATATTAATTATGAAAGTCCAAATAAACTCCCTTTCATGCAGCCCTCGCATTAAAAATGTCCCTTTTTGTTTGCTGATGAGCCTTCAGAGAACAAATCAAACGTCGACTTATCCCCATCCATGTAAAAATCTACAAGCTCCGTTCTCACTTCATCCACAATCTCAAAGTCGACAATCCGAACGTACTGTACAGCGCACGGAACTGTGTATCGGAAATTCTAAAGAAATGCTCATTATAAAATTATTTTGCGACATTGCTATTGAACTGAATTTTATGGTTTAAGTGCAAAGAACATGCTATTTAATAAATAAAGTTAACACGCAAAACCTTAAAAAAACGCCCCTTCGGACGTAATTTAAAATCTGAAACCTTTCACTTTTTTTTTTTTTTTTTTTTCCTCATTTATTTTATTCTTATTTTTTAAAATAATATTATAACTATTATTCTTAAAATAATGATTTAATAAATAATTCTTTTATTCTTATTATCAATATTTAATTGAAAAAAAACAGTATGCAGTTTGCATTAATTTGATTTTGTGTGCAATAGAATTAAAAAAAAGATATTACATACGCAAATATTTAATCTCGCAAATAAAAAAGCGTAAATTTTCAGATTTTATGAATATTATTAAGTGGTAGACAATCGAACAAGTAATATTCTTCTTATTCTTAATCTAATAAACCTCTTCTTGTTAAATAATAGCTTAATAAATAATTTTTCTTATTCTTAAAAATTTATTATATTTAAATATTCTTAAAAAATTATAGTATTAATTTTCTTATTCCCATGCTTAATATGATTCTTTTGATACTCAGCGTTGTTTATCCAATCAGCGTTGTTTTTCTTACGCTCAGTTTTACTTGGTGTGCGATATTTTCCTAGTAACCCTTTTATTCTTAATATAATATTCTAATAACTGTAGCCTTTTTTAATGTAATTCATTTAATCTTCCTTTTAATATTTAAATGCAAATAAAAATTTTTTGTCAGAAGCAAATTCTATCAAAATTAGTTTAATTTTGCTGCTCGATGATGACATGAATATTAATATGTAGACATTTTAGCTTAACAAATAATAATAAAAATTAGAAGTGCAAGTGGTATGAATATGATTCTAAACGCTAAATAACTGAATAAATAATAACATTTTCATTCTTAAAACAATTATATTCTCCTTCTTAAAATAATAACTTAAAGAATAATTTTTTTATTACTTTTGCAAAAATTAATTGTATGGAAAATGTATTTTTGAATAACGGTTAATACTAATTTAATCTTATTGTACAAACAAATAAAACGAATATTAAATATTCAACCATTTTAACCTAACGAATAATAAAAAGCAGCGTACAATTCCAGGTGCTATGGATGTTATTAAACAGTAGGTAATAATCGAATAAAAAAGAAGCACCCCAACTTTAGACGAACAGGGAGGAGTGTTATCACGTGATTTCCGTTACAACTGCTTTGTCGCTTCTCATTGGATAACCGAAGTTGAGTCACGAACGTGCAAAAAAGCAGACGAATCGATATTTTATAGTAGCGGCAGTTGCATTTGTTTTCCACAAACCCACCTCCTCACTGAGCCCGCTTTGTCAGTTTCCTCTTTCCAATGCCAAAAAGCTCGTTGCTTGCCTCACATTTCATTCAGCGACCTTTTAAAAGTTGAAGGTACTGGCGTTACGCATTTTTTGATGATGAAGTGAAAACTCCGCTGCGGGTGAAACGAGCGGGAAATGCTTCAGTTCGACAGGTAGATACGGTAGTGAGTAAGTTCAGTCAAAAAATTCTGTGCGATGAGGGAAAAAAGTGCTGTTTTACAGGTGAGAAATAATTTACTAAATTTTAAATTTTTTATTATAAATGTTTCTCATATTTTTTTAATCTTTCCTTAATTAAAAAAAAATTATCGTAACACTTTATATTTTATTTATAACTACCTACATATTGAAAACACTGCATAGTGCTATAACTTCATCGCGGGGAGAATTTTTGCGAGTTTTAACTTCTCTTAATTATTACTTTATTTAAATAAATTTCTTGTTACTTACTATTAGAATTTCGGCAAAAAATACACTGCTCTTATGCCCAGATACAGAAGAAAACTTTGAATTACTCTAAGCTCTGATGGACTTCTGGAATGCCAGATAAATTGTTTCCTTAAGTTATAGACATACAGTTTCGATGCTGAATGATATTTTTTAAAACTCATACTATGTAATGAAGAAAATTCATGCATGCTTAATATTATGTGCAAAAGTATCATCCGTTTAGATAGCAATCTTGATACACAACGTGTTGGATACCTTTCCAGAATTTATAAATGTCAATTAAATGTCCATCATGTTATAGAGTCTCACTCTTTTTGGAAGCACACAACGTAGACTCTACGTAGAAGACAAAGTAGTAAATTACTCGCTATGTCTTTGAAGAATAAATACTGCAGAAGAAGGTTTAAACAACCTTTTTATTTGAACCAAAATAAACAGATGCACCCAGTCGGTGTTGACAATTCACCACCACTTGTGGCTAACTTAAATTTAACAGAAAATAAAAATGTAGCAATCGCTAATAAACTTGAATTGCTAACGACTGGCTCCTTAGCTTAACTAAACGCTATCGGCTGCACACAGCAAAGCTGAGCCTAGAAATATTGTTACTTACTATTAGAATTTCGGCAAAAAATACACTGCTCTTATGCCCAGATACAGAAGAAAACTTTGAATTACTCTAAGCTCTGATGGACTTCTGGAATGCCAGATAAATTGTTTCCTTAAGTTATAGACATACAGTTTCGATGCTGAATGATATTTTTTAAAACTCATACTATGTAATGAAGAAAATTCATGCATGCTTAATTATGTGCAAAAGTATCATCCGTTTAGATAGCAATCTTGATACACAACGTGTTGGATACCTTTCCAGAATTTATACAATGTCAATTTTTTAAATGTCCATCATGTTATAGAGTCTCACTCTTTTTGGAAGCACACAACGTAGACTCTACGTAGAAGACAAAGTAGTAAATTACTCGCTATGTCTTTGAAGAATAAATACTGCAGAAGAAGGTTTAAACAACCTTTTTATTGGAACCAAAATAAAACAGATGCACCCAGTCGGTGTTGACAATTCACCACCACTTGTGGCTAACTTAAATTTAACAGAAAATAAAAATGTAGCAATCGCTAATAAACTTGAATTGCTAACGACTGGCTCCTTAGCTTAACTAAACGCTATCGGCTGCACACAGCAAAGCTGAGCCTAGAAATATCAGTATAAACTGATAGGTGTCTAAAACCGACTAGAAAGCTAATTTCAAATGCACAGCATAAACTCGGAGCTAACTCCGCTACTACTAGTTTGGGAATCTTGAAACGCAACTTAAATACTCCTTCTGAAACACGTTTAAATTAGCACACTATGTCATTTGAAAATTTACATTCCGGCAGGAAACTGAGATCAGGAGTGAAAGGAAAGTAAAATTAAAAAAAAAAAAAAAAAAAAAAAAAAAAAAAAAAAGGCATAAAAAAACATCTGAAAGGTTTCGGATTTTAAATTACGTCCAAACGGGCGTTTTTTTAACGTCTTCTGTGTTACCTTTATGTATTATATATGTTCTTTGCATTTAAACCAGGAAATTCAGTTCAACAGCAATGTCGCAAAATAATTTTTAAATGAGCCTATCTTTAGAATTTCCGATACAGAGTTCCGCGCGCTAGAGATAAAAATATCCCCCCCCCGTACAGTGTTGCCATTGCTCACTTTGAAATCATTGAGTTTGTTAATCACAAATTAGTTAAAGGCTTATAAAATATGAAATTGATAATAAAACATATTTCAAATTCTAAATTGCAGCTTCCAGATGCCCATATTCAGTGCAAGATGACGTTATTCAAAATTTGATGGCTATAGGTATCGTTGTTTTATCACAATGCGAGAAACATATACAGTCAAAAGTTGTTAATCCGGACACCCATAATCCAGAATGATCTATAATCTGGACCTCAAAGCTACAAACTTTCTGCGGATGCGTCAACGCATGCGCATAGGCGTTTACGCATGCGCATATGCGTGTGCGCATTATACATTTACGCATGCGTGTTTAATGTATAACAGACGGTATAAGCTAAGTTAAAATTATCTAATTATCTATTTCAGGTAATGTTGCAGTTAATGTTTCAGTAATGCCACGTTATTCCGAATAAATAGCAGTAAAACGTTAAAAAGCTAAGATGTTAGAATTTGGAAAATGTTAAGATATTTTGTAAAACTTTCACGAATTTTTGATTAACAAAATCAACGATTTCGAAGAGAGCAATGGCAACACTGTACAAGAAAAAAACATTTTGATTTCCAGCACGCGAAACTGTGTATCGGAAATTCTAAAGATGTGCTCATTTCAAATTTATTTTGCAGTATTGCTGTTGAATTGAATTTTATGATTTAAATGCGAAGAACATGATATTTAAGAACAAAAGGTAAAGCATAAAACTTTGAAATAAACGCCCCTTGGGCATAATGTAAAAATCTTAAAGTTTTCAGACTTGTTTTAACGTTTTGTGCGTTACCTTCATTAAATATCATCTTCTTCTCACTTAAACCATAAAATTCAGTTCAACTGCAACATTGCGAAATAATTTTTAAATTAACATATCTCTATAATTTCTGATATACAATTTCGCACGCTGGAGAATAAAATGTTCCCCCCCGTACAGTGTTGCCATTGTTCGCTTTGAAATCGTTGAGTTCGTTAATCAAAATTCGTTAAAGTTTTACAAAATATGAAACCGATAATAAAACAAATTCCAAATTTCAAATTTGAGCTTTCAGATGCCCATATTCGCAGTAGGATTACGTCATTCAAAATTGGATAGCTGTAGGTACCGCTGTTTTATCATAATGCGAGAAACATACACACAGTTTATGCAGATTTTTCATTATTTAATTTCTTCGAATATAATTCAGGACTCTAACATTTGGTGGCAACGATTTGAAATGTGGTACGCCGTTTATAGAGTTCCGACGCAAAATCGCAAAACAAAAATAATAGTCCTTCAGGCACAAAGCCCTTTGAACTAATAATTAGTTAGAATAAAATAAGGTCTTTACAGTGTTATGCTTAATTATGTTCTATGTACATACAGTGGGTCACATTTGTTTTCAGAATTAATGTTCAAAATTTAGTTGCATATGCATTAAATATTGAAACACAGACTCTAAATATTTTCTAACATATTTTTTAATTGCATACAAATTAAAAATCATTAAAATATTACTTGAATAAAATAATTTATTTAAAAACTGTTAGTTAATAATTCCCATAATAATTCATATACTCGAAAGTTTTGTTGCATATTTCTTAATATGATATTATTTACCAGAATTTTTTGTTTTAAATGAAATAAATCGTAAGAATTATCGTCTGTAGTTGGAAAATATTACTTTTTTAGAAAAATATACTAATAATTCTATATTTGAAGTTAACTAGGAAAGATGCTACAGATTAAGAACAAGTTCTGTTAGAAATTTAATAATTCTTCATTTTAAAAGTGGTAAAATTATTCTAAACCTAAAAAAACTCCATAAAGTAACATGTTCAGTTATCTCGAATGCTATATGAAGATCAGAACTGCGTGGAACTGTTGGAAATGCCCAAAAATCTGGACCTTCTTATAAGCTAACACGAAGGAATCGGAGATTTATCCTACCAATAATCAAACAAAATCCAAAAATTAAAGCGGTTAAATATACAGGAAATTTCGAAGAATGATTTGTAAAAGAAATTACTAGCCTGAAACTGTTAGAACAGTCACTTAGGCACATAGATACAATGGGCGGTCAGCAAGAAAAAGATTCTTTGTCAACTAGCATGCAAGCAAAGAAATGTCTGGTGTCCGCAGAATTCAACGTAAGCAAAGGTTTATCCTGTAGATATTTAAACATGACTCAAGATTTAATATATTTGCTTCCAAAGTCATTTTGCTAATATTTATTAACTGATGTTTGCAAGTAAAATTGAAGAACACAAGTGTCTGAAAACAAATGTGAGCCATTGTATGTTACTCCTTTGTTTCTGGTAGGTAGCCTCCCTTCGCAATATTTACATAAATTTCCTATACCACCAATTTGTTATTGCAAATCCCAGCCCACAAAAGTTTTATGAATTAGTAAGGTTGTTATTTAAAAATAACCACTTATTTATGATTTCATCCTCATATAACATGTTTCATATGTAATTCATGGAGTAAATTTTGCCACATGTATATGTTTTTGAAATTTATTTAGACTTCTATTCAGTTTCTAAAAATGATACATCATTAGTATAAGAAGGTTTAAATAAGTTCAAATGTGATAGCTAATTAGATTAAACCTCATAAATAATATCGTATTGGCCTGCGCGGGTTTACATTCTGCAATTGGTAACATGACCAGCTAGCCGGGCGGAAGATCCTGTCGTTCGAATCTCGGTGAAGGTATAGATTATTTTTCCTGTTTCTCCCTCCAAAAAATATCTAATGATTCTTCTCAGTTTGCGATAGTAATTTTTGAACAAGCTTAGTAAAATAAACTTTTATTCAAATTTTTCGAGTCACATTTTAAATAATTACATTCCTGTGCAGCAATGCAAATCAAACAATTAAGAAAGTTTATTTTAACAAAAATTTTTACGTCCATAGTGAATGATCGAAAAAAAAAAAAAAAAAAAAAAAAAAAAAAAAAAAACTTTCTTGGTGTAAATAAGGATGCTAAATTAAAATTCTGATTGGGAAACCGAAAAATAGCAATAAGTAAGCATAGATGAAAGCCATATAAATTGCAAAAG